AAGTTTCCCCATGGCTAGCATTCACAAGGCAATGGCACCCACAAAGCATTGGCTACTTTTACCCTAGCTTCGACTGGAAGTATCTCCCTTGGAAACAGTTTGTTTCGACACACACAGTTTTGCGCTATGACACTCACAACCGGCACATTCGAAGGAACATACAAAAGGCCTATTCGAAAGACAAATATTGGTGGCCCATTCGAAGAATTGCAAATGGCCCATTCGAAGGACACATATTGTTTGAAATCAAATATTGTTGTCTGAAGAAGAAGTTTGGTCGAAGGCTTGTTGACCAGAGTCCTATGTGCTGCAAGTCCAAGCCTGCTATATTGGCCACAACGCTCTAAAACTGCTGCATAGCAGTCTTGCAATACTGCCCCTATTCTTGCACCAAAATGGAATACAAGACTGCACCTCGAAAGCTACAAAAATAGTATACCCAATTTGTTCAAATTCTTTTGTTTTCCCTCCTAAACCTTAGCCAACTTTATCTATAAATAAGATGTCTCACAACACATCTAAAGGGGGGATGGACAACACATTCAGAAGGCTTTGATAGCTGGAGAAACGTTGACTGTGTGAAAATCATCAAACACTTAACACATTCTTAAACCCAGAATCAAAAGACCACACCCTTTGTTTCTGTTCCTTTCGAATCCAACACTAGAAACACAACACATGTTTCTTTTTCCTTTCGAATCCAGGAGCAACCCCATACTTTGTTCTTTCCTTCGAATCCATCAAGAAGAAACACTACACTTGTTTCTTTTTCCTTCGAATCCAGAAACAACAAACACAACCCCACTCTTCTTGACCTTCGAATCCAGTCAAAGAAACACCACACTTGTTTCTTTCCTTCGAATCCAGGAGCATCCAGTCCAATCACTCAAGGTCCAGAAGCACCAACTTCAGAAGCAAGGTAAGTCCCCTGACCTTAACTATTTCGTTTCAAGCATGTACATGACATTTGTTTACTTTTCGTTTATGCCCTTTCGTTTGTTTTTCTTGTCCAAATATATGGTAGAACTAACTTGTATAGATCCCAAACGAAAGAAGAAGTTTCGTGTGAAACGAAGCCTCAGGCTTCGCCCCTTTGCTGTTTCACAGTCCCAAACGAAAGACAAAGAGAGTGTGAACAGAGGATACGCACTCATGCTGTTTTGCAGGCCCATATTACTTCATAGTCCAAACGAATAAGCAAGAAGGGAGAAACGAAGGGTGTCCACACTGACTTCCAGACCCCAATCAAAAGAAGCAGCAAGAAGGGTGAATCGAAGGTTACTTGCTCACACTAACATTCCTGCAATCGAAGAAAGCAAAGAGGCAGAATCGAAGAGCACATCTCCTCCTAACTTCCAGACCCAAATCGAAAGAGGCAGGGAATAGAAGAATCGAAGGGTGCATTCTGCCTGGATCGAAAAAACTATTTTTCCTTCTTTTATTTTGTTTTGTCTTTACATTTCCTTGCTATTCAATATGGTTGTAATAGTGTAGGATATTTATTTTCTGCATTTTTATTGCTTTATACAAATGTTAGTAATTAGGATATATGGCAAGATAAAATCAACAAGTAGACAATCCTAATCAAAAGACTAAATGCATGCAATCAAACACACTTTGCACACATGCACCTCTAAGGTAATCTCACTTGTTGCCTCGGAAAATAGCCATGTCTCTCGAATATGGATGTTTTAGCAAATACCCTCGATAAAAGATCGTAGTCCCTCGATGTTGACTTCGATAAACGATCTAGTCCCTATACGACAATTGCTAAAACGTCTCATAGATTGCCTTCTATGAATACAAACGACCCACGCCCGTCCCTTCACATCCAACGATGGGACTTCTTACCAAATCAATGGTAAGATAGCAACATCTAAAGAAGGATAAAAAAAACATTAGACCTTTTGAGTAGGTAGGATGCCCATAGTTGCTTGTTTGCTCACAAACTAAAAAAACATTTTTCCACCAACACTTTCAATTGAAACATTTTTAAAAGACAAAGCTCTTTGTACGCATTCTTATAGAGACAGGAATCATTACAAAGGCATTTTTCAAAATTACTTTCAAAAAACATCTTCCACAAACATCTTTTTGAACTATTTTCAAAATCAACACTTTGTACGCATTCTTATAGAGACGGGAATCATTACAAAGACGTTTTCAAAATATTTTCAAACTCACACCACAAGCACATTTTCAAACAAAAGCAAGTGATCTAGCAAGCAACTAAGAGCCCGTAGATAACTACGGATGAAAATGGTGCTAACACCTTCCCTTTTCATAGCCTACCCCCTGAACTCAAGAAAACATCTCTAAA